CATCAAAAATGTATAATATTGCATCCACAAACTTTATGAAGTTTTCTTATCCTGAATAGTTTGGGAAATTATCATAGTTTAAATTTTAAAATTGATAGAGGACGTTACTTTTTAGTTTTACTCATTTCCACTAGTAGTTACTTTAATAACTTTTTTTTATTTTTAAGTTAAGCAATTAAAAATAACTGATTAAGTTAAGGTTTGGTTAGAATTACATGTATATTGGTTTAGCTCCAGGGAGTCGGTCCTTTGATAAAACATGTTTTGAAAAGACCCCTTTCATTTCATGTTGAAGGATGTCTACACATAATGTGTCGCCATTAATGATCGATGAGGTCTTGTTCATCGACTAGTTCAAGTAGGATTTCAGTTCTCATCCATCACTCTTATTAAACTATCAATAAATTTGAAAAGCTCATTCAAAACCTCATAGTTCAAATCCTGGACCTTGCAGTTTTGATTAAAACATTCGATACAATTGATTATGTTTCTGAAAACAAATTATCAGTGGCTAATTCTCCATAAGGGTTGATTTATCGGTTTGTGTTTCGTCCCGTCGCAAAGCTGTACAAAATCTATGTATAGGACAGTATTTCTTTAAATTTACACACTTCGTCAGTTGAAAAAGAAATATATATTTATATTTTTTGATATTTTTTTTACATATGTACTTATAAAAGTTTGGAGTTCGTATAGATTGGAGTTCTAGGAATTGTTGTATATTTGCACATTTAGAGAAAGATAGACAACTTTTAGAACAAAAAGATAGATAAAAGAAGAAAACTCACTTTATTTTGCCTTTCATATATTAAAGTACAAATAATGTATATCTCTATGACAAAAAAGCTTGTGCAATGAAGCGTATAACAGTTTTTTTCCAAACTTAGAATCCTTGCAAGTCCAGCCCATGCGCCAAAGGAGGTTCCTGTACCTTCCATAGCAACAAGAAAGATTATAGATGTATTTGTGCGTCAGGTTACCGTGGTAACCGTTGCCAAGAAGGTGAGAGGAGACTGTAGTTAGCATCGATTAAGTTAGATTCAATGAGTAATGTTCATAAAATCCCATTCGTACTTTGAATCTGCAGTGAGTGTTCAAAAAAGTTGTTTATATTTACGTCTACATGACAAACCTTTCGGTCGATACTTCGACCTTATATACATAATTGCCTCTGCTATTTAGTGTCTTCTTAGATATCGATGAGTGCAAAGTGACGTCACCAGCTTGCCACGGCAATGCAACATGCAGTAATACACATGGGTCGTTTATTTGTTCATGTAAAGATGGCTACGAGGGTGATGGTAAAACTAATTGCTCTGGTAAGAACCTGGAAGTCAATCAATTTCTTTTCACGAGTTTTTTTCTTTATTCTTTCTTATTTATGCTTTTGACGTCAAAATTCAGATGTGCTGAATAAAATATGTATTCTCGTATTTTACAACTATTTTCAGATATCAACGAATGCACATCAAAAACACACAAATGTGACGTACAAGGTGAATGTGTCAACACTATTGGCTCCTATGTGTGTAATTGTAAGACTGGCCATTATTTCAACGGCACAAAATGCGTCAGATACCAATACAGTGAGTACTACAGCACATTGCTTGACTCTTTCTGTTCTCGAGACTTGTGATTTTTGTTTTTACATCATACACTGTATGTGCAATGCATTGCCAATGCGGCGGGATACGTTTGGATCAAAACATGGAGGATTTCTTCAATGGTTTTCTCCAGAAATGCATTGCACAATGTGTTATTGCAAAGGCGAGTAGTTTTAAGAGCTCTAGACTTCCATATTTGCATATATTGTTATCTCAAATACACTTTTTCACCATTTCATTAATTTGGTAAGCAAGGAGTAACTTGAAGCGATATCAATAATTTATTGATAGAATCCTAGTTTAAAGATATGTCATTGCAATTCTTAGGAGGTCTTGAAAACTCGTCAATAATGACAAACTATGGGAATGACAGCTATTTCCAGGCACTCTCGGCCTATTTGAATCCAGTTTTGAAGCACAACGATAGTTACTGGTTGAAGTGTTGGCACGGCCAAAGAGATGGTTTCAAAGCAACAACATTTCATGCTCTATGTGACGGCAAAGGACCCACTGTAATGATAGTTAATGTCAAGACGTTGTACATTTTTGGTGGCTATGTAGATGTGTCTTGGCATTGTAAGTGTACATACATTGTTTTATTATGAAGTTCTACTATAGCGTTAAACAAAGTAAAATAAAGAAAGTGAAATAATGCGAGAAACAACGAAAAGGCAAAGAAACTAAACGAGCAAAATATGTACAAGTATTTAGTGTAGAATCCTACATTGTATTTCACGGTTTTATAAATTCCACTCTTGAAGACTTTGACGGAGTGCATGTACTAAAATGGTTCTATATTTTCAAACACAGCAAATGAAATATATTCAAGTTCCGATGCCGCCTTCCTGTTTTCCTTGTACAACAATCCTAATGGCTTCCAGCCAGTGAAACTGAACATAATAGACAAAAACAATGCCATATATGGGAATGCTGTATGGGGACCCACATTTGGACGAGGGAAGGACCTTTATGTCGGAAGCGAAGCCCAAATTAAAAAAAATTCGCTTGCTTTTGCAAAGTCATATGAAACACCGCCAGGATGCACAACTGGAGTGAATTGCAACTTTATGGCAGACACCTATCAATTCTTTGTTCATGACATTGAGATGTTTTACGAGATGGACGGAAGTACTATGTAAAATCAACTTTAACCAATCGGGTGCCGTGTTATATTTGCGCGTACTGTGATTGGTTGTCTAAAAATAACCACATCTGATGGTGATAGGTTGTTGTAGGGAATGACATTTGTAGTCATGTACTTTATCATACTAATTCTCACTAAACCAAAATCAACACATTGTACATCGCTGAAATTAACTGCAAATTTCGTAATAATTGTATACATTATTCAGAATCGTTCTGTAAAAAGAAAGGTATCGAAATAAGCTAAAACAAGCACAAGGGCTATGTAAACATAAAGGGGGACAGCTGGTTCCTGGGAGAAATAAATCTGTTCTTATGCTCCGCCCAGGAGTAATTAGAATACGTGTTTGCGAGTTAGGCCACGGTACGGACAACCAGAAATAACCAATTCCCAGTGAATCCCATTTCCAGGAAACTATAATTGTATAAAAGCAGTTAATTAGAAGAACGGAAGTCGCCGACTTCTCCTAAATAATGCTTTTGTAACGATTTCTAAAGTCTGATGGCTTGTAAACATCACCCAAATGTCAAGCACATCGAAAAAATAAACTAAAAGAATGAACAAATAGAGCTATTATATGTAACGAACCAGTAATAGTACTTCCATTAATACGTATGTAAATACGTATGAGAATGTGAATAGTATAGGCGACGGTTTTGAACGCCACTTTGTATAGGCAAAGTCTCGCAAAATAACTAGGATACAGTGTGAAATCGAAAAGTTCCAGTTGAATTCCAATTCTGAAAGACTCATCAATTTCAAGTGTTAGATAATCTACGAAAATGAGTTAACTGAGCGAGTAAACTCATTTTTAATTCTCCATACATTTGTTTGTATTTTTCACGAGTGTCAATATATTCTTGTTATTTTACGAGACTTTGCCTACCCAAGCGAAATGGTGTGAAAACCTTCACTTGATCTATTGAAAGGTGTTTAATCTTTGTACGAATTCGGCTAAACATCGATAAACTGGCTTCCTTTCTCGTAAAACAACCCATGAAGTCTGCAGAGAGTGGACGTGACATTGAAACCATAATGTAGAAGGAAACATCCAACCCTATAACCATGCTCTGTAAATTATCACTGTTATTGATGAAAAACTTAGTGAAAGTTACGTTGCGTGACTTCGTATGTTAATTAACCTTTCGTGGCGTGATGCGATATGCATGAGTTAAATGTCGCTTTTTCAACATCGATCAATTTCTAATATTTAAGAAAATGTCCTAATATTTCTGAGAAATGTAAAGAAAAACACAGCAAACGTACACAAGGTAATTATCTTTCTTTCAATTTTTCGTTCACTAATAAAAACCTCACAAGACCTCCTTTTGGGCTACCTGTGGTATTAAATTATTCTGTGACCTTAACGTTCAAGCAAAACAGCTGTAAGAGTCTACTAGCCACGATTGTCTGTATGCAAATTGAGCGTTTCGTCGATGCTGAGGCGATTGTTGTAATAAGTATGTGATCCTAAATCTCTTACTTTGAGACGCCGTTATGTTCTATGGAACTCGGATGGCATGGAGATGGCTTTATTTCTTAGTAAAGAAATGCGTGGCGGACTACACATTCAGTGAATGTGTACGAGTGCTGTGTGCTTGCTATGTTCCAAGAAGCAAACTACAGAAGCATGCATCTATAGATCTTTCTGACATAATTTACTACATCTTCAAAACAAAAAAAATCAACTTTCCATGTTTTTTTATCAAAAATGAGTGAAGTCCTTGTACCTGACATACCTGACAATTTAAATCGGCTGTTTGTGAGCTATAGCGAAAGTTTCTCCAAAGCGGAAGCAACTGAAATCATCGCCGATTTAAGAACGAAGCAACTCCATCCAAAATCCGACTCATTGGAATCTGATGATTTGTATGGAACATTAAAAGAGCTTTACAAGACTGGAAAGATCGACGAAGATAATGATGGTATCACTTTGTTAGAGTTGATTGCTGGTAAAGACCGTATAACCAAAGTTACTTCACTAATAAACGACTACAAGCAATCTCACGTTACTTCAAAGGATGACGGACTAATTGGCCGAAACCAAGACAGGAGACGGCTACTCAAATACTTGACAGATAAGGAAAATCACGCAATAGGCCTTTACGGACCTTCAGGAGTTGGAAAAACCAAACTTGCCAAGAGTGTTGGATCTGAACTCGAAAGGGATTCCTGGGTAGTGTTGACTTTTGATGCACGAGACTTGAAAGACATTAGTAGTTTATACATGTGCATTCTTTACGAGTTGGGTCTAACCACTCTTGCCAGGAATGTGCAGGAAATGCAGAAAGAACAGCCCTTAGCGGACTTGGAAAAAACGCGAATATTATGTGATCTGAGTGATAAAAGTTCGCATGCAAAAACTCTGTTGATTTTTGACAATATCGAGGAAAAACTCGTTATAAATGACAAACAATTTTCGGCCTTCATAAATGACATTACTAACTTGCCAGTTTGTGACATGGGATCGCTGAAAATTATTATCACTTCCACAGAGGATCTTCACAGTTATTTTGACTCGGTTAAACCTCAACTTCTTGAATCATTACCACTAAAAGAATCAAGTCAGTTTATTTGCCGAAGCTCAAAACTCGGGCAAAAACCTGATTCTTCGAAATATTGGGAGGATCAAGATGTCGAGGCACTTAGCAAGATTTCTGAATATTGCAGAAAACTTCCATATCTCCTAGAAGGCGCTGAGCAGATAATGAGAAATGGTTTTATCTCTCCATTACAACTATTACAAAAAATTGAAGCACAAATCGAAAAAGGAGTCCCAGAGAATTTTGCTCTAACTGCTACACAATTTGATTCAATCTCCAATGAACGCCTTAAAGAGCTTGCAGTGAAGATATGTGTATTCCAAAGGCCATTTTCAGCGTCTGCAGTAACCAAAGTTGCAGAAATCAGTCCAGACTTTGCTGCGATCGACCTCGAATATTTAGTCAAGCACAGAGTTATCACAAAAACAATATCTGACAACAAAGCAAGATTTGACATTCATTATTTATTTAAAGGATTTGTTGCTTCTTACCTAAGAAAAAAGATTTCAGTTTATGATGAAGTTTACCAGAGAGCAGAACAAATGTTTGGAATACATTTTGTAGACAAATTGGTGGAACTAGCTAATCATCTAGAGAAAGATTTCACAAGAGTTTACAAGAAGATGGACAAGAATAGGTTAAACTTCGAAATGGCTCTTCAATTGTCAACTAAAAATAAGGAAATCTTGGGGCAGCTACTCCATATCAAGTACCACGAGAGTATTTGTCGTGTTGCAATGCTGTTGGAATCGTTGAAGAGCATCGGTGAAAGGCGAAGATTGTTTAAAACATGGGCAGACGTTTTGGAAAATGAAGGTACAATACTTATACTTTATGACTACGACTGTGACTCTGACTGTGACTATATGACTATAACTGATTGTTGATTGTGATTGTTACTGACTGTGATAATGACACAGTGATACAGTAAACACCCGAAAATAAGAACCTAATGGATTAAGAACCTCTTGGCAGAAATTTGCCATTCTAATAACCCCTTAAATAAAAACCTCTTTTGCCAAACATTATCAAGCAGGTTCTTATAATATGGGTTTGAGCTAAATTACAGGATAAACAAACCATAAGTTACTCAATTTGAAGATTGCGTACAAATACTTTTACTGAATTTACAGTTGTTTAGTTGATAGCTTACTTGTTACAGAAGTTAAAAGTTACAGTAATTATACATAATATTATAGTATTATATATATTATATAATTTTAGCCCATATCAAGATTATTTATTATTCTTATGATATATATGCAAAACAATAACAACTACATGTTTATCCCCCTATTAGCAATTAAGAACCTGTTTTGCCAAAATTACCAACAACTACACCTCAAAACAAGAACCATCTTTGCCAGACTTTCAAACAAAATGTTCTTATTTTTGGGTGTTTACTGTAATTGTGATTGTGTTTAAGATTATGATTACCTATAATTTTTTTAGGAAACCTATTGAACTGTGCTAATATGAGGTGTTGGGAATCGATTCAACTTGCTGACATTGAAGGAACAGCTTCATCGGAAAGAATACTTAAACAAGCTGAAGCATGCCTAAAGCAAGCATCGGACCATTCATCTCTGGATGTTGAGCAGTTTTCTGCCATTAAAGGACTATTTCTTTATTGCGAAGGAAATCTATACTACAGGAAACATGTGAACCTTTCCAAACAAGAAAAGAATAAGCATGGACTAATTGAAAATGCTCTGAGGAAACTTGAGGGGTCGTTAGAATTCCACAAGCAGATTTATGGTGAAGATCATACAATGATTGTCAGGATACGTAACATGATTGGAAACTGTTACATGGAGAAAGAAGAACCAGACACAGCTGAAAAGTATTACTCGTTAGCATTAGAAATGATGAAAAGGCTCACGAATGGAACTGAAAACCACAGTGAAATACCAACATTTTATAATCAGCTGTCACAAGTTTATGAGAAACTTGGTGATAAAAAACCAGGAGTATTTTCATCAGTTATGCATCTGTTTGGTAGTAAAAGTGACGCAGATAACTACTATGAGATGGCAGTTGAGTCATTGAACAGAGCACTTCAACTAAATGAACAACTTAACTTGAGCGACACTTTAAGCACCGCAACTTTCAACAGAAATTTAGCTAATATCTTCATGGCTCTTAAAAGGTACGATAAAGCATTAGAATGCGCCGAGAAATCCTACAAGCTTAGAAATCGATTGCTTGGTAAACATCCCGAAACAGTCCGGATTCTATACCTGAAGGGGATCATAAACGAATGGAGGAAAGAGTTAGGTGCAGCACTACAAAGTTATGAAGAAGCATTCAACATGGAGGAGTTGTTACCGTTAGAAAACCACAGTGTTGTAGTTACTAAGCTTGGAAATAGGCTAGAAGCAATGTGCAGGAAATGCAACGAGAAGAGAAAGCTCCGAGAGTATAGACCCAGAATAAAACAACTACTGGAAATAATTAAGGTACAAAAAAAAGAGTAAATGCATTAGTTTTCAGCTATTTTTTGAAACAGAGTGACTAATCTATTTAATGTAATGTAAGGGCGAATAGCGGTTTTACCCCGATAAAGATTCAATCTTTTTTAAATACTGATTTATCTAAATTGTTTAAAATTGATAGAAATGGAAGCCTTTGATGAATAGGTTATCAAACAATTTCAGTGAATAAATGACAGCGTACGTTTTGCAACTATTTTGCAACTTTTTTCAAATATCGTTTCCAATTCGCTTGCTATTATCCAGTTTCTTCACGCCTCTTTTTTTTTTGCTTTATCTCAGAAACAGCCAGCTAAAGAGCAGCATCGGAAATTGGACGAGAAAGAGCTTTTAGTGTAAGTGTACAGTATTGCTTTGTAATATAATTGGAATACCATACAGAATTATTGATGAATGTTCTATGCCCATTTACAGAGTCCAGCAAGGTGGATTGTACAATGTTTCTAGCCATGGCTTTTTCCTTCACATCCCTCAAGACGCCTTCAAAGACAAGACGCAGATAACATACAATCATCCTMCAGATGATTCTCTTCCTTCTCCAGCTAAAGACATGGAGGCTGTTGTGAGCTTCATTGTGGAATTAGGACCGAGTGATGCCGTTCCTCTAAAACCCATCACTATCACGCTAATGCACTCTGGGATTGTAGGAGTAYCTGAATATGAAAACATTGTAATGGCGTTTGATGCAAACACACAAACATGGGAAGAATTGCAAGGTAAGGTRTTTTTGTTTGAGCTTTTCGATGGATTTTAGTAAGTTACCTTTCGATGAAGCTTGTATATTTTATATTGTACCATGTGAGTAGTATAGCACGTACGGGGTTAGCCATATTCAATGAGCACTATACCACTTTTAAGTAGTAGTAATTTTAAAAAAATCATTTTTGTTCTAAGAAATCAAAGACAAATCGTTGCTMCCCATTCCCATGGARGACAGYCCAGCAAGTTTTATACAAGCACGTCTGACCAAACTGACTGCAGTAACAGTGGTTTCCAGACTAGTTACAGACTCATTCGAGGTCCCTGTCAGCGGGCAACTTGTCAGGTCTTCCGTATGTCAAGACGTCACMCTTCAGTTTCTTGAAGGAGCTGTTAATAAACCCATGCAGGGAAGATTGAAGGTTTGGGAATAAAATTATCAGATGATGCATGATATAGCCCCGCTAGTAACAATTTTATTAATGTTAAAAGAGATATCATTCTTTCTGTGTATGATAAAATGCTAATGTTTTTAGGTACTTCCTGCRTCCAGTGTTCTGCCAGAAGACATGGCTAGTTTTTACCTTTCASCRATGGTAATTGTCGATGGCTTCGAGGGAGTCCATTTATCYAAGTCCGCAATTTTAACTTTCCCTCACCCTTGTCCATCTCAACGAYCRGCGAGTCAAATACACGTGATGTGYTTCAARGAGAAYCAATGGAAGGAAATCACGGAAAGCGTGCAGTACTCGAAAATAAGCGAATCAAGGATGGAGATACGTATCAACCATTTTAGCATGTATGTTATATATTAAATTTATCAAATTTTTTCTTAAACCTGCAACATGTCCACTGTGCCCGGTATTTCTGAGACTGTTGGCAGGTTTCTGCTGAATGGGCACTACCAGGAGCAACTCTTACGAGCTTTTGTTTATGTTTAGAAAATAACAATGCAATGTAATAACAATACAGTTGTATTCACATGTTTCTTTATTCTGTGTTTTGAAGATTGCTGCTGTTGATTGGTCCAGTGGCRATTCCTCCCGCCTTTTACGCAGTTTACAAATGGTGGAATGCTCCTCAAGGTGCTCTATTTGCTGTATTTAAAATGAAGGATCTTGGAAACTGTAGGGATAAATTCAAGCTGACACTGTCATGCTCGCCTTCTTACATGTGGAAACATCTATATGAATGTAATTATTTCATTTAGTTTACGATGGACATTTCTTAATGTCAACATTCTTTGGAAGTTGTTCTCATATATTTGCATTGATTGATTTATATCTCATATTTGAAGATTTTCCGAAGGAATCATATAAAATACTGGCAAGCGAAACATCTACAATGAAAGCAAATGACGAAGCCTCTGTAACAGTTGAAGGTGATTTCATATCCCGAAACGATAACGTCATTCTTAGGTAGGTTCACGAGGTACACTTTCGGGCTGCACAGAACAGCTCCAAACATTTATTTCTTGAAATCTTTGTTTATTAATTGTTCTGAGAAATACAACCCTGTCCGGCAAGGGACGTTGTTGTTAGATTAAGATATCGATTTAAAGTAAACCTGTATTTCAGGTTGGAAAGAAACGTTTGTCAAAAGGAGATCAACCTCCAGAAAAGGCCTGATAACAGGGAGAGMGAAGGAGACATGGAAATCAGGTTCCTGTCCAAAGAAGATGGTAGAAATCTCGGCCAGCTTACTGTATATGAAAGCCAGCTTGAACCCTTAAACATGGGGAGTTTACGATTAAGTATCGACCCAAATGATGAACAGAGAGTCTACAGGATGAGAAGTAGTCCAAGGGGTGTTTTAGTCATTATCAATATAAAAACCTTTGAACATCCTCACCTGGAAAATCGCGCAGGTTCAGAAACAGATGTCAACGATTTAAAAAACCTATTTATTAGATATTTGAATTTCAAATGTATAGATTTTGGAAATAATTGTCAAACACCAYTTCACATTCTTACAAGATTGAGAGAAATAGCTGACAACGACGATTATCGAGTCTATGATAGCATTGCGGTCTGCATATTGAGTCATGGCGAAAAAGACTTCTTCTACGCTTCTAACGGGAGWACTGTAAGAGTTAAACAAGTTTATACGATATTCTCAAACACCAGCTCAGCGGTTTTCAGAGACAAGCCAAAGTTGTTCTTCATACAGGCATGCCGTGGGACCTCAGGTCGTGAAATCACCGTGCAATCGGATGCTCCTGACTACGACATGTCGGATCTACTTATTGCCTACCCAWGCTGTCCTGGCTTCAATGCATTTCGAGATATTTTCTTAGGAAGCTTCTTCATCCAAAGCATTGTGAAAGTGTTCCGGGAAGACGCCCGTGAGCATCACGTTGTAGAAATGATGAGCCGAGTCACGAGAGAGGTTAGAGCGAAAATACGCGAGTTGTACCCTAGAAGTGAAGGCGCACAGGTGCCAGTGTACGAGTCGACATTACTGAAGAAGCTGTACTTTTGGCCAGAAACGCCATGACTTTCAAACATTGTGGAAACGCATTTTTGACGATGGGTGTTTATGTGAGAGCAAACCTGACCTTTTTCCATGAAAACATTGTAATAAAAATGAAACTAAACTAGCTAGTTCTTCTTTATTCTAAACGTTTAATAACGGCTGATGAAAAAGTAGCCAAACCTAATGTTATTCAAGAWCATGTCAAATAACCCCCTTCGCCGATCGTTAACTGCAAAATCTGTCTTTGAAAGATAGGCTTTGAATCGAAGTGAGAAGACCGGTGAGCCTTCACGAGTGTTTGACCTTAGAAAAAAGTAGAACAGGGAATCATGAAAAAAACAATGAAATAATAACTCTACAATATGTTCAGCTGCTTCTTCAGCCTGTGTTGTCAATGCATGTTGTTTAGATCCATAATATCAGTATCAAAGAAAAACAGGAGAAATATTCAAAGCCGTTCTCTTACTTATGGAAATTCAAATTTTAAACAAAAGATGATATCGGATACAGCTATAAAGAGAGTTGTATTTCTTTTCAATTTTAAAAGACTCTACGACGCCACTCCCCTCCACCCCAGCCTTCTTGCAATTTGGAAAAGCTAGTTTAATGGGTTCCCTGTGTCACAACAACTTCCTGTTTCTCGGTAAGTTGAAGAGCATTTGTAATTCAGTCGTCGTTCCTCGGCGTCGTTCGCGCCACAAAGAACGAATWGTGCTGYTTTCAAACAAGAAACACACTCCAAGTTCTAAATGCAACAAATTTAAAGATTTACGATGATTTTCATGTAATCATTTAGTAGATATAACTTTGGTTTTAGATCTTCGGTTCGTGGAAATCATTCATAAACTCAACGAAGGCATCATCAATAATCTTATAAATCTTATACTGAGCCGGGTGCTGTAATGATGGCTGAAGGTTAGTTATGTGGTTTGTCTAATGTTTGTTTCGGATGGTGTTTTAGGTTTTGTCAATCACTGAGCTAAATTTTTGCCGTACCAAATTCAAGTATTGTTTAAACGTCTGAAAGTCATTGTTTTGAGCTCATTTGCATCGGAAGTCTACTTCCAAATTACAGCTTTCATAGCTTCGCAATTCTCTTAAATCGCATAGCTGATATTATCTAGTTTGTGAAAACTCATAATTTTACCATTTGTCTATCATTTAACAGTAAACTTTTGCCTTTAAGRAAAGCTCTTGAAAGCTTGATCTTTAGAATAACAGAACTATATAAAGATCGGTGTTTGACTCGGGGCTAAAAACAGCCGGTCGCTGCACGACACCAATCAATAAAATCGATCATCGAAAAGCGATCAATAAAATCGATATTTGTCAATACACAGTGTCTAGATGCCCGGCAGTCACGCGGTCTCTAAAAAACTCGGTGCCCGGCAGTCCAAAATTTCTCCAAATTASAGCCAAATAACTCTTTCTGTTGAAACCAGACTAGGCAAAGTCACACTTTCTTTCTAAAAGTCGGCAGAACGGCTTTAAACAAGGAAATCAACCTTTCTTAACTACACTTTGAGTAATCAAGCCACTAAACTTTTGATCGAATTTTCAGGCTACATAATGGGTCGCTTAGTATTTCTAAACTAGCCTCCTCCGCAGGCATCACTAAGAATCACGGGCTTCCTGTCTTTTTGAGGAGTCRAAAGAGGGAGAATGTTTTTGCTATCTCGTCACTAGTCCCTAACGGCCAAAATGACCGTTACAAAGGAAGCCCAAAGGAGGAAAAAAGAGTTGCCTKTGGAGGAGGCTATTTCTAAACAAACTTTGCCTAGTCTGGTTTCAACAGAAAGAGTTATTTGGCTGTAATTTGGAGAAATTTTGGACTGCCGGGCACCGAGTTTTTTAGAGACCGTGACCGGCTGCCGGGCATCTAGATACTGTGTTATCAATAATCATAGGTTGATTACTAT